TTCATGCACTTTTACGTCACTACGCATGATCATGTGCATCTACATTGGGTTAGTATGACAGACATTCTAACCACACAGCTATCAATTTTAGTACTTAATAACTTTTTTCCTAATAGAAAGCGACAATTTTAACTTACAAATTCATGTTTTATTAAAATACATAAAATTGTGAAGTTTTAGCCAAATCAGTGAGGAAGCCCTTTTCTTTCATAATTACCTTTTTTAAATCACATTTAACTGCAATAAATAAATTATTATATTTAACAAATTAATAATTTTTAAAATATAAGTAATTTACCTGACTATTTATTTATTATTGAAAAAATTAATAATTATTTTCCACTAATTGTTAATTTTCAAATAAATAGTAATTCATTTTTGATAAATTATTAATTATTTTAATAATAAAGAATTTATTTCTATTAATTGCAAAAATTTGCAAAAAAAATTAATTCATTTTCCCCTAAATACAAACTTTCACGAACTATAAATTTTTCTCTGACAAATTACCAATTTTTTAAGTAATCTATAATTCACTTTTACCTAAATATTATTAATTTTTATGTAAATAGTAAGAGAGGGAGAGGGAGAGGGAAAGGGGGAGAGAGAGAGAAACTTTATCTTGAACAAGATTGTGCAAAGAGATGTGCAATGTTTGCCTTATTTTAGATATACCAATGAATTTAATGTTCGAGAAGATCTGATGGGACTAGCTATTGGTGCTCATGGTGCAAATATTCAATAAGCGCAAAAAGTTAATGGCATTACAAATATGGAGTTAGAAGAAATGCACATTTATGATATATGGAGAGGTAATAATAAAAATTATTATTGCTTGTAATATTTCGGAGAATATTGTTTTATAAAAGTTTACTGATCGTACTGAATCAATGATTATTTATTATGATATATTTCAATGATGAGAATTGTTTTTGTTTAAATAATTATCTGTGGATATAAGAAACTGAATTTTATGCGCATAATATATCATTTATTCTTGTCAGAGAGAAAAAAAATAAAGAGACTAATAAAAAAAGAGACTAAAAGAAACTAATAGACTAATAGAAAAAATAATATAACGTTTTGAATAAATTGTGATACACCGTTTGTTTCGATTCTGATCAGATTTTTTTTAGGCATATCTGATAAGTTATAGTCAATAAGTGATACGAGATACAAGTAAAAATATTGTAATTGCCTACATGCATCAGAAATCTAACGATTGATCATACATCCTTTAGGATTATACGTAGAGATACTTTGGACGGCAGTGAAGATCGTGTTCGGGATTTACCGCCAAGAGGTGGTCATCAGGGAGGTGCCGGTAATTCAGGGTATATGAGTGGCAGACAAGGTCGTCTTCCAACCTAACGTAGAATCGTAGATATGAATGTCATCTTATTACTGATAACGAAGACACTGTTTTACAGCCAGATTTTAATGATAAGCGGTAGCTTCAAGAAATTCCAGTTTTTATTTTCAAATATACTTTTCACGTAATTTAGTGTCTTTTCTTTCTTTCTTTTTTTTTTTTTCCTTTTTCTTTAATTATTATATATATATATATATATTTTTTTTTTACTTTTACTACAGTCTAAGCATACTATATTAAACTTTACGATTTGTAACAATTTGTAGTATGATATATTTAAGTAAAATATTAAAATTATGTTTATATAACTGCCATGTAAATAAGATAATTTCTTTAACATAAAATAATACATGTAATATTTATACAGGGGAAAATAATCTTTAATCAAGGATTTGTTGGTTGTCCAATTTGTGATATACAAGTTTCGGTGAAGGAATTGAACTTAAAAGTCAGAAGTTATGATCTGCAATCACTCTGCAGTGCAGTAAGTTATACGATACTTGTAAAATTGGTATTATATTGTTCATCTGACCAAATAACTTAATTTTGACAAATATTTAGGTATTAAAGATGAAGGAACACGAATGTAAAGAGATCACGTCAGCGGAAACTCCATCGTTCTTCAATACAGTGGACAAAGTGCTAAATCTAATGCATGTAACGTTAAAAGAAGCAAAATACATTATGACTATAGTGATGGATCTCAATGTTATATCGCTCGCGCTTCAAATCATTTGTTTAGCAGGTACATTCATTATATTTCTTATTTCACTTATAAAATATAATAATGCAATTATAATTTAATAATGAATGAATATAGGTAACATTTTATCAAGGACGCTATTAAGCAGAAAAGCGGAGAGAAACAAATATGCATGTAACAACAGATATTCGTTTAATTTGAAAGATTACATAACGCTGGATAAGAAAATTGAAAAGAAAGGGCGAGGCGATGGTGAGATCTCAATATATTTTTATATATTGTCGTTATTACGAAACGCGATATATTATGTTAGATGGCACGCGTAGGAAAAAAGCTGCGGCGTATGCTGGAGGCCTCGTACTTGATCCGAAGAAAGGTTTCTATGACAAGCTGGGAGCTTCAATTTTTGGTATTGTACAAGATGTATTAATCCGAGTATTATACAAGAGTACAATTTGTGTTTTACCATCGTGCCCAGTGCGGCGTATGCTGACGTCGAGGTAATTTTCTTATATACAAACAATATCATGAAGTAAATATCTGGACTAAAACATAATTTACACAGTGCAGCAATTAAATATTCTCGAGTTAAATCTGGAGTCAGGTATGATCCCGATCGAGATTCACAAATTAGTCAAAAGCAGACAGCAGATCAAGCAACTCATGAAAGCGCCGAATTTATTGCCGGAACAGAAAATGGATTACCATATCAGGCAAACGGCGTTGAACTTCACAGACAATTCCATGTATGGATGCTTAGGGGCGATGCATTATCGATTTTACGCTAAAGGTCTTGCCGCTCTGATAACAGGTAAGACGCGAAATATTGCATATTTAAAACGCCGATAACATGAAGCATAATATATTATATAATACAATTTTTTTACATAGGGCTTTAGCCTAGGAGGAGGACGAGGATAAAACGAAGAGAAAGGAGCAATGTAAAGAACGCAAAGAAAAAGAACGAGAAAAGAAACGTGACGAAGATGATGGCAAAGGAAAGTGGGAAACCGTTAAAGGCGGCGTGGCTATTCCCTTCGAGAAACCGAAGATGTTCGTCAAGGACGTAGAAATTAATATTGGTGCGGTGTTGAAGAAACTTTCTGAGATAATTGCAGCTTTACTATACTAAGTTATAAAATAGATATGATTAATTGTTTTAAATTGATTATCAACATTTATTAAAAATTAGTTATCATGCAATTTAAAACAGTTTGTTTCTTATTTCGGATATGATAACAACTAATCAGACGTGTCTTATGAATTTTGCAAAATCATATGGTGGTTGATGCAATATATCGACACTTAATAAAATAGCTATCATTTTATCTGAATATTCTTATGGCAGCCAAAAAACTGAGATATCCCCCAACTTGCTTGTTTCAGATACATTTATATTGATGTAATTTGTACATAATTCAAGAATAAAACATTTCTGTACATAAATTGGCAAATGATACGATAAATCTTTCCTTTAATATAAATAATGCGATATATTTTACTTTCTTGTAAAATTATAGGAATAGTATCTTTTCCCTCCTCCTCTCTTTCTCTCTACCTCTCTCGCTCACTTAATATAATTACACGCCCGGGGATATACTCAAGTAGTTAGATTGAATTATTTCAATTAAACTTGTTTAATTATAATTTTATATATTTAATTATAGCGTTTTTGATTTGAGATTCAAACCGACTCGGGTCGCATCATGTATACAAGACTCTAGCATCATTGACGTGGAATACATACATATCTATGTATGTATTCCACGTCCATTGATGCGATCCGAGTCGGGTTGAGTAGTAAATCGAAAACGCCATTAGTTGTTTACGTGTATCGAGAAGTGAGCGTTTCGATTCAAATATCTCGCGTCGTAGTGTTGTCGCTTTTTGATTGGTCGGTCGAAGCCGGCGATTGCGGGATCGCGGCGACTTTCGCGAGTTTCGCGCCTGTACGTCGTGTGATCGTGATGTGATCGCGTCGTGTCGTGAGGTTAATATTGACGTGATCTCTCATTATTAATTACAATTGTTTAATTTCGAATTTCGGTTGCGTCTTTACTCAAAAATCGAAGTGCTACGAAGTTATGGGTGTCACAAGAGGCGAAATATAAGCAGGTCGCCGGAGATAGGTAATGACAGTCGTGATCGTTACTATGTTTAGGCGGGCGTTACTTCTGTAGTAATTTACGATAATTAACTCGTTTACGCGGGATGAATTATTATCAGTTATTACAGAATCCTCATTTACGTGGAGGATTATCATATAAGTTACAGAAGTAACGCTCGCGTAAACGTAGTATATGACAGATAGTGTGTGTGTGTGTGTGTGTGTATGTACGTAAGCGTGTGCGTGCGTGTGTGTGTGTGTGTGTGTGTGTGTGTGTTGTGTGTGTGTGTGTTGTGTGTGTGTGTGTGTGTGTGTGTGTGTGTGTGTGTGTGTGTCCGGAGTTTGATCAAAATAACTATTTATAAATCTTTCTGTTCATTGTTGCATTGCAGAAGACTACAATCGATGGCGAAGATGACAGTGAAAGCGAATCTGACTGGAGCAGCGATTCAGACAGTGAGAGCACAAGTAACGATGACCACTATCAAAATATTCGCGTTTCATCAAAAAGTACGTTCTCTCAACCTATAAAATTGAGTAAAATTATTTTCTACTTAAAGAAAAATAACAAATTTAACGATATATTTTATGACACCATAATTTTTTTTTTTTACATAAGAGCCTAGGAGGAGGACGATTAACCTCGCGACACGACTCGAGCTATTACATCTCGATCACACGACGCACACGCACACATGACAAAGGCAAATATCAAAATATTCGCGTTTCATCAAGAAGTACGTTCTTTCAATCTATAAAATTGAATACAATTATTTTCCATTTAATAAAAAATAATAAATTTAACAATATATTATATGACACCATAATTTTTTTTTTACATAGGGCTTTAGCCCAGAAGGAGGACGAGGATAAAGTGAAGAGGAAGGAGCAATGTAAAGAACGCAAAGAAAAAGAACGAGAAAAGAAACGTGACGAAGATGATGGCAAAAGAAAGTGGGAAATCCTGGGTGTCGTGGCTATTCCCTCCAAGAAACCGAAGATGTTCGTCAAGGACGTAGAAATTAATATTGGTGCGGTGTTGAAGAAACTTTCTGAGATAATTACAGCTTGTGGTAAAAAACGTACGGACTGACGCGAGCGAATAGAGCTTTTGCACGAGCTACAATTGATAGGCGACGTTCATATTTTCGGCCCGGTTATAATCATAAAGATTAAGTTTTCCATTGTGTCTTTTATATTTGATTACAACCAAAAGTTTCTGATGCTATAAAGCCGGAGTATTGGTCGAAGTACGTATTTGTGTATAAAATAGATATATGTATGTACGTATGTGTAATGTAAATTTATAAGTCCTCTAAAATAGAAGATTTAATATAAGCAAGTATGAAATAGATAAATATTTTTGTTACAGAATATTGGAGCGTATTATGGTAATAGCGAAACAATAATGGAAGAAATGCAAAAGTTTGAAATGACGCTGTATAAAATAGATGATTGTGTGTTGACACTGGTGGAACGTTTCGATGAGGAATTCATAAAGTTGTTGAAGGAATGTGATTTACACAGTAATGAATACGTGGAAAGGTAATACCTTTTGAGATAAATTATGCGAAAAATATTTTTAACATAAATATAAATACAGTTATAATTGATAACATATACGGAGGGTTAAAGCCATAGTGATGTAAGTCAATTTTTTTATTACTTTTTTTTTCTTCTTTCAACATATCTGCGTGTGTAGATTGCATCTATAAACTTAACTCGATAGGTTAAAAAAGGTGACTTACACCACTATGGTTTTAACTCCATATATATATATATATATATATATATATATGTATTATGGGGTGAGAGAGAGAGAGAGAGAGAGAAACTTTATCTTGAACAAGATTGTGTAAAGAGATCTGCAATGTAAAATTTTTCTTATTTTAGATATATCGATGAATTTAATGTTCAAGATCAAATGGGATTAGCTATTGGTGCTCATGATGCAAATATTCAACAAGCGTGAAAAGTTGATGACATTACAAATATAGTTAGAAGAAAATTCATACACATTTAAGATATATAGAGAGGTAATTATAAAAATTATTATTGCTTGTATTATTTCAAAGAGTATTGTTTTATAAAAGTTCACTGACCGGTTTTTTATCTAAAATGTATATACATATTCGTATATATGTTGCATTATATTGAGCTGGTATACAGAGCTTATCAGATTTCTTTCTCAATCACAGACGCATGAAGCTGTTAAGAAAGACCGATCTATGCAGGAATAAAGCAGTAACCTAAAAATAGATAGTGACAGTGTGACAGTCGTGACCATCGCCGCGTGATAGATGATAGTGATAGTGAAATATATATTGACGGCAGGGAGCTGATGCCGAGGAGATCTTTAAGAAGGAAGGTATATCCAAAATCGCACACGTACGTATATATGCTGTCTTGTAAAAATTGTAAAAGTTCAGAGAACGAGAAAATGATCTGTATTTATATGCACGTGTGACAAGCACTATTGGGCACTATCGCGTAATAAAGATTTCTCCGAAGAATGTTATTGTACTTTACTTTCGTTAACTTGGATACTTCAAATGTACAATCTCGCGTCTTCAAAATATAATAATTCTCAGACACTGTGGAGGAATAATTGTCTAGCACAAGAGGTCCTCTTATAAATGTCCTCCTTTTCTTTCGTTTTTTTACACAGGACCATTTTATATTCAACTATATGGTATACAATTTTGCCGCTATATATTGACCGCAGGGAGCTGATACCGAAGAGATCTTTAAGAAGGAAGGTGTATCCAAAATTGCACATGTATGTATGTATATGCTGTCTTGTAAATTGTAAAAGTTGAAAAGAACGAGAAAGCGTTCTGTAGCACAATTTATATTGTAGGCAAGTTATGCTAAAATATTTGTGAATTGAGTTCCTATTATCCATTATTATGATATAGATTTTATCAACAATATTAGAGAAGTAACGAAAATTGATTTTATTAAGTATTTAAAGCAATTGAGAGTTTTTAGCATTAAGTATTTCCATTTTCTCATAATATGCTTAAAAAATATTGCAGGGGACTTGTGAGTTATGCGAAGCAATTGATACTATTAAGGTTCATTGGTCATATAAAGTTTGCACACGTCAAGCTTGACATCCTAAAGATCACAATGCATTCTAAAAATATACCGTGCAGGTTCGTTGGCGTATACGTGGTGTCATACAAGATGGAAGATATTTTCTATGTTTTGGAAGTAAAATTTGGAAAATACAACATGCCACAATAAGCGCTAAACCAGGAAATGTAAGTGTAATCAGTGCTCTAAACATTCCTTTTAATAGTAATATAAAATTGTTCTTATAAACATCAATTATAATTAATTCAAGTTGTCTATTATTTGAAAAGAACTTGATTTTTAGTTTCGTTTTTTATTCTATCTTCTGAAAAAGATAAAATAATGTAGATTTCCTAAAATTAATTTTGTTTATGCTATCGAAGAGGAAACACTTATTATAAAATTGATTATAATACTAAGACAATTATATATAACGATTTCAGATGGTACGACGGCTTTTTATTTTTTACGTTAATGCTGAATGGAAAAGCCTATAAGCATATTGCGGACAAGATGATGTCTAATCTGGATACAGCCACGAAAAAGAAAGATATGCGCATGGCAGGGAAATTAGCGCTATTCACAGGCCTTGTAAGCATATTTAGTAACAACGAAGATTCTTTGAATTGAGCTCTGTCTTAAAATCGCATCAATTGAAGTGAATCCACTGCTGAGTGCTGAAATTATACGATTTTATCCGTCACAACAAATAGACAAAGAGGAATGTTTTTTCCAGTCGATGGTCTCGAATGTTGCTGACGTAGCTATTTCGTTGTAAATGCATCATTATGAAATGATGATCGGTAGTAAATGAGAGATATGTTGTGAATTAAAAAGATGTCTACATTACCTAAACAGTATCTTTGTATAATTACAAACTATCTTCATCTAATTTTTTAGTGACAATGTCCGAATAATTTGCGTTAGTATTTCTGTGTAAAAAAAATATGACGATTATATTACAGTATATCAGATTTTAAAATAATTATAGAGGTAGGGTGTCTAAATTGTTATCGTTCCATCCAAATGTAGCTTTTATACTATTCGGATAGTATCGATATTTTATGCTGCTTAGAAACAAGTAAAAAGCATTTTAAGACACTTGTATCGTTTCCAAAATATAAAAACTTGTGTTTAGATTGCAGATATACGTTTTGGGTACTGGCATATCTATTTCGTTGCAAATGTATCGTTATGAAATGGTGATCGGTAGTAAATGAGAGATATGTGAATTAAAAATATGTACATATCATCTGATTTTTTAATTTTAGTAGTGACAATGTCCGAATAATTTTGCGTTAGTTTTCCTGTGTAAAAAAAAATATGACGATTATACGATTATATACGATTATATTACAGTATATCTGAAAAATGTTAGAAAATGAAACAATTGCTTAAAAATATCCTGTATATCATAGCATCTATTTGCTTCGCCTGTATAAAATGTTAATAACG